CTACTGAATAAAGCAGAAGTGACAACTAGAAAATATCCCTACATATTATATTACTGTGTGCATTCTACTGCTCTTAGTTTTTTTTTCTTGAATACTGAAGAAAAAGAAATCATATGTTTTAGTATTAAATACTAGAGCCTGGAGAGCCTTCATAAGTTATTTTTTTTAGCATTAGTAAAGTTATTCTCAAATGCCTGCTTTAAAGATTTTTCCCAGTTGTGTCTCTGTGTCTATGTCCAGGAAAAGTCTTTTTTTGTGTGTGAATAAAACCTTGAAAAAGTTGTATATGTTTTCTGGAAGAGTAAGAGCAAGAATAACTTATGAGAGTGATTTGTAGCAAATTTGTAGCAAATCCTTCTTCAGCACCACAAAGGATAGCTATTTCTCTCCTTAATGCCTTTAAGATACAACATCATCTTCCCTAACTTTAACCTATTGATTTTCTACCATTAATTCATCATTTACATTTCATTATAGCCTGTCTTTATTTTATATTACAAATATAAATTATTACAAATACAAATAACTCAAGGCAATGAACATATCCAAACACGTGGAAATTCTCAATTATCCAGATCATGGTTGACCCTTTTTGTCTTCAAAAGGCAACTGGACTTTCTTGGTTTTTTCCTTTGAAAACATTTTACTTCTTATCCCAAAAGCTTTTTTTTAGTTCTAACTGGTAGGGAATAGAAAGATTTACCTATATTCTTTGCAACCATCTGGTCATTACCACTCTCAGAGTAGTTCAGGCCACTTGGGGATTTAACAGTAGCCTCAGAGTCACCTGAATCAGAATGCAAACAGGTATGGAACCTTCTTGGGATTGCTAAAAGGACTGTGTTGTAAGTGGGAGATAGGTTAATTTGTATCCTTTCCCCCTCTATTAATACAGTCTCTTCGAGTCCTCTTTTAAACTGTGGCCCTCTCTGTCCAGAATGTGAACCTTGCTGCCTTCAAAAGAGTTAACCTTGTCTTTCAGATGAAGATGGACTGCTGAATCCTTTCCTGATGACTTTGCTCTCCTGTGCCATGTGTTTGTGAAGTGGTTGTTTAGTTTGCCCAGGTCCACACATATCTCACTGCATTTATTTTTTATTTATTTGATTTTATTTATTTGATTTTGTCAATCTTTTACAAGATCATAGGTATAAGAATAAACATGACTGTAAATACAGGAAATAGGTACAAATAAATGGGGACAATAGGACAGGGACGGTAGGCACAATTGTTCACTTATGCATATCCCTTACAGACTTAGGAATGGGGTGAGGTCAATAGTGGATAGTTTGAAGGTAAAGGAGTGGGGGTTTGAGGATGTAACAACAGGGTCAGGTAGTGCATTCCAGGCATTGCACCGCATATCAACATTATTCTATTTGTATCTGTGTGTTTTGTCCTTGGGATAGACAAGCTTCTGCCATAATGTATTCTGGATTTAAAGTGTGCATGTATATTGTGTTTGTTGAAAGGCTGTATTAAAATTGAATAGTTCTGCATCAACAGAGGGAAAGGGGTACAATATCACCTATTTCCTGTTTACAATGCAGTCTTTTCAACAGTCCAAAGAAGATTTCACACCCAATTGCACTCTGACTCAGGTGACTCTGAGGATACAGATAAACTCCCAAGTGGCCTCAAGGACTCTCAGAAAGCTAATGACTGACTCAGTGTGCTAACAACCAGATGACTGCACAGAATATAAATTCTTCTATTCCCCATCAGTTAGTTAGACAAAGCTTCTTGGATGAGAAGCAACACATTTTCAAAGGAAAAAACCAAGAAAGTTCAGTTGCCATTTGAGAAAAAATGAGAACCTTACAATTATTTAATGCAACTTCCACTTATTTTCCCCACAAAAACTCTCTTAAGTTCAGCTGAGAGAGACTGGCTGCCTGTAAAGCCACCCGCTGGCTTTCATAGTTAAGGTAGGACTTAAACTCGGCCTCTTGCTTCCTAGCTTGGTGCCTTAACCATTAGACCAAACTGGCTATCAATTTCTCTTCCTTTCCACATCAAGAGCTTTCCAATGTTCTTCCCTTGCTCTCTTTTTCAACTTTTTCATTCCATACATATGTGACACTAATTGATAGTTTCTACTGACCTCTTGGTTCTGTATCTTTTGCCACCTGGCAGTTGGTAGGTAGTTTCCTGATTTGCATATTATCTGTTTTATACATGTATAATGTCTAGAATTAGCTATCAGTTTTTTGAGGAACATATTTCACCTACAAAATTAAAGTTTCATGTGGCAGGGTATGCAATAACTTTGATTGGAGAAGAGCTGAGCAGAAATGGTTCTCTGCAATTCCTAAAAAAATGAATGTCAGAGAACCACAATTACACTTTCCTAAATAAATTACACAATCTCTTAATTTCTTCAAGGAAAAGTCAAATTCTGCAGCAGTTCCTCAAGAGCAGAACTCCCCTTTGATATAGATAAGAGAATCAGCCTTAAAAGTCTTCTTTTGTGATTTAACAAGCGTCGGAAGCAGAGAGACTGGACCAATGGAGATTTTATTTACCAAATATGGAAATTGTCCATCTCCCCCACAATAGGAATCCTATAATTCGCGGTTTACACAACATGTATTCGCAGCATGAATGCGGGACGGCTGATAGGGCTTACCTGATGTAACCTAGTTTGCTAATGATCTTTGTAGTGGTCTCTGTATCCTTGTCCAGAACCTCATATAAGCGATAGAAGACATTTTAATTTAAAATGCATAAAGAAAATTGCATATGAGAAAGTAAACATGAAATATAAAACACAGATACAGTACCACCTACCCTTCCAAATTATAACATAAAAGTCATAAAACTTTTCATGGTTTTGGAACTGTTACATTGTGAGTAATACAGTAGTCATCTTAAACAAAGCACACATCTAAATGCAAACAAAGCACAGATCTTTAAAAAAAATTGCGTTATATATTCAAGCCCGGGCGCAAAAATGCGCCAAGCAAATGGAAAAACAGCAAGTTTGAAAGAACGAAAAGAGCATATGCCAAAGTCTTGCCTTACTTTCGGCAGCATCCAGGGATCTTGGACTTGAGACAGAAATTAAGAGTGACAAGACGATTTGCTATGGAATTATAGCAACTCACTAGCTTCGATCGCGGAACTCTAGTTTCTAAAGGAGGCCGTCTTTTTGCACTTTCAATATCTTGTGCACGCTTAAAAGTCATGAAAAAAAATCAGCCAAAATACTTCATTCGTTAAACCAAAGTTTAAGAACACGGATTGGCAGGTTCTTGAAGACACGGTATGTTCTTTCGTGGACCAATGGGGCGATGCTGGTGGTCGGAGCGTCTCTCGAAGCGCATCCTCTTAATCCCGCCCTCTTGGGCGTGGGAAGGAAAAGCAGAAGGAAAGGTCGGGTCTTGCAGAGAGCGAAGCGATCCCTGTGGTTAAAAAGAGGGCGGGGGAGATTAATGAGGCTCTCTTCCTAGCTGCCGTCGGTTAGTGAATCCAGGCCTAGCTGCTGTCGGTTAGTGAATCCCGGCCGTGAGGGGAACAGGACCGGCATTGGGCTTTTTTCGGCTGACCTGCATCATTGCACCCTCTGTGGCCAAAGCCTTTCCTTTGCCCCTTGATTCCCATGAAGCTCCGGACCCTTCCTTCTCCGTCTGGCCTGAAGTTCTTCTCCCTCCCCGGTCGGAAGATAACCCTGCCGATAAACCCTGACGGGAGGCGGCTCTGCTTTTTGAAGGCTTCCAGGGGCGTTCATAATGTCGTAAAAGCTGCTAGTGGGAGAGTAATCCTGTGGATTCGGGCCTTACTTTGGTAGGGTTTTGGCAGGATCAAAGGAAAAACAACAGAATCCCCATCTCCTCTAATGTCACTTTTCCTCTTTCTCCATCTTCTCTTCTGCTCACCTTGGCTTTAGTATTAAAATGTTAACCTGCTCCTTTTCAGCACAGATAAACCTGGAGAAAAAGAAGAGGAGAAACTATCTGATTATCTTTCTTAGTTGAGATTAAGCATATGCTTCTCTCTGTTACTCTCCCCTAACTTCTTCCCAGTAATATCAAAGGGAGGAGAGCCATCAAAGAATGTTTTGTGCACATTTGAGTCAGTTTTGACTGGTAGTAACTTTCCTGACAGGTGGCAATCCAATCCCTATCCAAAACTTGCCAGCATGAACAAATGCATTATTTTACTCCTCTGCAGATCATAATAAACTCTTGAGTGATGTTGCCTCTGATAGATTGTAGCCCACAAAAAATATGTCAAAATAACTTGGAAAAGGGCCACAGGTTTCTTTGTGGTTTTGCTGTAAAGTAAGCAACTTTTTAAAAGCTCTTACAGATTGAAAAAAATGCAAGAGGTTATAGGAGAGCATTTCAAGAATGTATCATCAATTCAGTCTCAAGGGTTTTACAGCTCAGCGTTGCACAAATTGCACTATTTTGTTTACAAGTGCATATTTTTAAAAAGTTATGTTCTTGTACTTGTAGGATGTGGTGTTATATAATGTTTTTGAATGTTTTATATAATGTTCTTGAATGTTTCAAGTTTTATTGCCCAAACTGCCTTTTTGATGCAGCATAATGGAAAATAATATTAGACCACATTAAAGCAAAGGATTAAAGAAAGCTTTGCTCAAAATATATTACCAAATACTGTATTACTGTTTAGTAGAATCTGAGTTGGTAGATGTTTCATTACCAAACTAAGTAATGTCATAAGTGAAGAACATAAAGAATATGAAGTTGGAATCAATAATTTCAAGCTAAGCCAATATGTCAAAATCTCAAATTCATTTTTCCTACAATTACACTCGTGTTTTAGTTATTTCCTATTAAGACAGCAATTATATATTCATTTACTGGAACTAAGCTTTATTAATTGGGATCATTTCTTAGGGTATGTGCATATATTTGTGTGATGGTGTTTTTCTCTTAAAAGTTATAATTAAAATAATTGAAAGAAATTCACTTTAGGAACTAATATATGATTGTCTAAAACTGTTGTTTTATTTCTTTTTTAAAGAGAACATGATAAGCCAAAATGAATTCTGTGGTGCAGAACAGATATCCACATCCTATTTAAGATGCCTGCTTTATTTGTTAGAAGAATGGACTGGAGTGGAACGCTTGGAAGAATATCTGAATTACCTGATCACATGCCTCCTTGTACCACTATTTATAGCTTTGCTATTTCCAGCAGTCACTTTCATCCTTGTTTTTATTTGTGCTATCACTGTTCATATTTACAAAAGAAAGACAGACACACAAGGTTACATGAATGATTTCTGGGATGGTGTAAGACAATTTTTGGCAACTGTATGGTATGTTCATGCAAGAATATGGAATGGTAAGCATCCTACCATTCTTCTTATGCATGAAAGTTGTGAACTAAATTATCTTCAGACTTAAGGATGGATATTCATAAAGTGGATACTTGAATAAAGTTTCCAGTTCCCTGGAATTTTTGAAAGTATTGCTTTTAGTATCATGTCATTTTATATTGTTCTGAATCTTAGTGTTTGGGGGAGGCTTACTATGTATATAATATAGACTTACTGTTTCTCAATATTATCCTTCAGTTAATTGGTTCTACAGTTCTTATCAGTGTTATTGGCTGGGATGAGTAGTAATTACATTCTTAAACAAGTTAGCTTATTTTCTAGAAAACACCTTCCATGTTTTTTACTTATTTATTAACTTATTTTCTTGTACATCGTTCAATTAACAAATCTGAGGCACTGCCCCTTAAGTGTGCACATAGGAGGCTGCAAGTCCGTGAGAGCTGGAGTCCTGGGTGAAAGGAAAGCACTCAGAATGCAGTCCCCAAGGAGGCCAGGTCCCGCGCATTTGCTACCTTCTGTGCGCACACCCATGGGGCGGGGCTGAGATGGTGCTGCGGATGTAAGGTTGGCCACTGCCTGGCCCAGATGGCTGTCACCAATTGCAGATCAGTGCCTGGTTGGCTTGGGAAGGGCCAAGGCCCCACAGGTCGGTCCTTCGCTGTTTCTTGCCAGATATAAACACCTCATGGGCCTTGAATCCAGCTCATGGGCCTTGAATTTGATACTGCCTGACTTAGACTTATATACCACTTTACAGTGATTTATAGCCCCCTCTAAACAGTTTGCAGAGTTAGCATATTGCCCTCAACAATCTGGGTCCTCATTTTACCAGCCTCAGAACCATGGAAGGCTGAGTCAACCTTGAGCCTGATGAGATTCGAACTGCCAAACTGCAGGCAGCCAGCAGCGGAAGTAGCCTGCAATACATACCACCGCAATACATACATTGTTAGCACGACTGCTAAGTTTATAGTCAAGGCAGTTCAGTTGTACTCAGTTTCATAACTTTAATATCTGAAAAATGTTTTGCTATTCAAACTTAATATCAACTTCTAATTTTGAATGTCTCTGTCCATAACAGGTTATGAGGTCCATGGTCTAGAAAAAATACCAGAAGGATCAGCGATGATTGTTCATTATCATGGAGCAACTTTCTTAGACTTTGTCTACTTAGTGGCCATTGTTCTTATCAGAAAGAAAAAAAATTCTCCATATAGTTGCTGATTATTATGTATTTTCAATCCCAGGTAATTGTCTTAAACAATTAAGAGAAATTATTTGTACATCTCAAATAATATACTGTATTTACTTCATATTTATGTTAAAATATATATTAAAAGACTTCAGTGAACTAAATTATTTTCTTATTTTAAATAACAATCCAGTTACTAATTAGTCAAGGTAAATAAAATAAGTATTTTTTAATCTTTATTTATAAGCAGAGGATAAAAATAATGTGGAGGGTTTTTAAGTTAATTCCCATGTAACACGTGTAACAGCCACATGTATATTGTATAGCTAAATTCTTTAGTTTAGAATTTAGAAAATTCTGTATAAAAAACATATCTATTTTTTGGCTACCTATAAAGAAACAGTCCTGTTTTTCTGAATCTTGATTTGGCATTGGTTCATGTCAAGAACCTTGCAAAAGACCAAAACCTGATCAAGTATTTACAAAGGTCAGAATTAGGCAGAGCCCAAACTGGATTAGATGTTAGTGAAATACAGTACTTAGTTACATCAGTAAGGAATTAGTTACAATACATTTCAGCAATGTCATTACTAAACATCCTGAGAACTAAATGAAATAGTTTTTGGAAAGTAGGGCTAGGAAATACCAAATGGGAATAGACAGATTCCTATGCCTTTATAATTGAGTGGAATGAACCATCATGAAAATCAAAGAAATCTCCTGAAATCATTTAGTAAAATGGGATTAAATGCTTCGTAGTTTATGAATTATCTTATCTGAAAAAAAGTCTGAAAATAACAAAACCATTTATGCATTCAATTGAAATAGCTTGACATTAGGTATGTATGCTCTTCCATCATGGTTTCAAATAAAAACAAATATATTTAAATTATTTAAAAGTATGTGGCCAAAACAAATGAATGTTCCAGTTGTACTATTCACTCAGATGCAGAGAAACAGAATACTGGTGCCATTTGGCTTGAATCTTCAAGAGTTTCAAATAGTCTACCAAAATAAATTGGGGAAATTCTATCCTAGAACATTGGGTATAAGTTTTTATAAATAATTATTGAAATATTAAAATAGAAGCTAAAAATTAGCCTGAAAATAAAACAAATATTCACAATTGTAATTCCAAACAATTTGCTCTTGTTTATCTAATTTTCTTCTTTCAGAATCAAAAAACGCTTTCTAGTTTCCCATAGATAAACCAGAATGTCCAAGGTAATGGTTATTTATTCACACAGTTATGCTCTAAATGTAACTAAATATGCAAAAATTTATCTCATTCCATAAGGCCTAGCAGATTGTGAAGCCTTTAAAATATTATCCCTAGAAGCTAAGGCTGAGGCCTGCTGCTAAGTGTGCGTATGTGTTTATCTTACAACTTAGTGCCCATGTGATTGGGCAGGGAGACTTACACCACAGAGTTAAGGGGGGTATGTGGGGGTCAGAGGTGGTATTCAGCAGGTTCCGACCAGTTCTGGAGAACCGGTAGCGGAAATTTTGAGTAGTTTGGAGAACCGGCAAATACCACCTCTAACTGGTCCCGCCCCCATTGATACTCTGCTTCCTGAGTCCAAGCTGATTGGCTGGGTCTTCTTTTGTTGCCCTGCATAGGAGAACAGAGCTGGAAAAGAGGTTAGTGGGGTGGGGAGGGAATGGGATTTTGCAGTAACCTTCCCTTGCCACGTCCACCAAACCACACCCACCAAGCCATGCCCACAAAACCGGTAGTAAAAAAATTTGAATCCCACCGCAGGTAGGGGTGCTCTGGGAGGAATATTCAGGGATCTCGTACTCTGTAATAGGGTACAATTTCTTGATAGAGAAAAAAATTGATAGCATAATTTATAGAAGCAATTTGTAACAAATCCTTAAAATGTTTAGGATACATCATCATCTCCCTTCAAACCTCAACTCATGCTTTCCATCTTTTTACTACATTTCTCCACATCAAGAACCTTCCAGTTTCTTCCCTTGCTTTCTTTTTCAACTTTTTCACTTCCATACATATGTCACAATAATTGCTGGTCTCTACTGACATCTTGGTTCTCCATTTTTGTTCACTTGACAGATGGTAATTAGTGCAGTTTCCTGCTTTTCCATATGATCTCAGTTATATAATATTTAATATATATTTAATATATAATATTTAATATATAATAGCTATATAATATTGTCTAATCCAATTGTCAGTTTTTTGAGGAACACCTGCAAAATTGTGGTCTGCCCTCTTCTTAAGAAGCTATCACTGGATGCCACCCAGTTGGAAAATTTCCAACCTGTCTCCAATCTTCCTTTTTGGGGAAGGTTGCGCAGCAGCTCCAGAGGTTTCCAGATGAAACGGATTATCTCAACCCCTATCAGTCAGGATACATGCCTGGATTTGGGACAGAAATGGCATTAGTCGTACTTTTGGATGATCTTTGGCTGGAGCGGGATGGGAGTACTGCATCCATCCTTGCTCTACTTGATCTCTCACGGCTTTTGATACCATTGACCATGGGATTCTCCTGGGGCGGCTTCAGGGGATGGGAGTGGGAAGCCTTGTGCTGTCTTAGTTCACTTCCTTCCTCTGCGGCCGCTCTCAGTCAGTGTTGATAGGAGGGGAGAGATCCAGCCCTCACCCACTGCTTTACATGGTTCTGTAGGGCTCAGTACTCTCTCCGCTCCTGTTCAACATTTATATGAAGCTGCTGAGTGAGATCATCCGTCACCATGGACTGAGGTATCACCAATATGCTGATGATACTCAGCTGTATGTCTCGGCCCGTGGTGAGTTAAGTGTTGCTGTGTCGTCCTCCCTCTCGCAGTGCCTGGAGGCTGTTAGGGGCTGGATGGAGAGCAATGAGTTGAAACTAAACTCTTGCAAGACTGAGTGGCTCTGGGTTTGGGGTTTGTTGGCTCAGGGAGAATTGCCACCTTTGGTCTTGGATGGAGTGGCACTACCCAAACAGACCCTGTGTGTAATCTAGGGGTTTTCTTGGACTCATGACTACTGCTCGAATAGCAGGTGGCAGTTGTGGCTAGGAGGGCCTTTGTGCAACTGCGGTTGTGCACCAGTTATGCCCTTTCCTGGACCAACAGTCCCTACTCACTGTCACTCATGCCCTGGTCACTTCCTCTCTTGATTATTGCAACATGCTCTGCATGGGGCTGCCCTTGAAGAGCATCCGGAAGCTCCAGTTGGTGCAAAATGCAGCAGCCCACATGATTTTGTGCAGACCCCAATGTGCACATGTGCCACCTCTCCTGCAGAAGCTGCATTGGGTGCCAATTTTCTTCTGGCTGCAATTCAAGGTGCTGGTTGTCACCTTTAAAGCCCTTCATGGCTTGGGACTGGGTTATCTGAGGCAACGTCTCTTGCCGGTCACATCTAGCTGAGCCATTAGAATGGGGAGGCAGGGAATGTTGCAGATCCCATCCCTGAGAGAGATACACTTGGTGGGACCCAGAAGAAGGGCCTTCTCCATGGTGGCTTCCTCTTTCTGGAATATCATTCCACCAGAGATTGGAATGGCCCCTACTCTAGCACTCTTTCGAAAGACACCGAAGACCTGGTTTTGCCAGCGGGCCTGGGGAACCCAGAGTGGGATAGAGCCCATCAAATGGCTAGTGTGATTTGCTGTCATTGGGGCAGGGGGTGGGAGTTGGGGGGTGATTTTTTTTCCAGATTTTGTTCTATTGTACTTTATTAATTTGATTCTTTTTGTTAAAGTTTTTATTTTTTTTATTTTTTATTTTGTTTTAAATAAGGTTTTACATTGTGTAAGCCGCCTTGAGTCACCATGGGCAAATAGGCGGCAATAT